CCCGGTTCATTTAGCAGTTATTCTAAAAGTGCGTCCGTCATTTGCCGCGCCGTCACGAAACCTGACAAGGTGAGCTGCTTCAGGCAAGCTCCCGTAGCGCCTGGTAGGTAGGCAAATATCCGGCCTGCACAGCATGCGTGTACTGGAGGGTGGCCTACCCAGCGTCTCGCAGGCGCCGAGCTTCCGTAGTTTGCCAAATGAATCTCTGAGGAAAACGGACGCATTCCGATCCCCGAATTATGCGCGACGCATGTCTCACTTTATGTAAAGTAAGTCAGTCTGTCCCATACTCTTTTGACTTTTCGGTGCACCTGCATCGTCGCTTCGCAGAGGGGGAGTTGGACGAACTCTTCCCACCCCGCGCCTAGCACAATGGAAACCCGCAGAACTTTTGCTCCTCGTTTTGTTCTAGACACTTTGCACAAGACAACGCGCCAAGGTCAACGACGCGCTAATGTTGGCCAACCACACCGAGCTGATTTCGCACCTGGCCCCCCGGCGAGGTCTTTCTCACTCGCCCTCATTACCGACCTTGTTAACGATCCCAAGATACGCCCCCCCACCCCACCCCCTCCCCAGGCCGTGAGCGGACTGACGCGCGGCCCAGACGCACTCTCTGTTTCTGCCGGGGCTAATTCGTATGCGCGGCGACTCGCAATCGGGAAGAGGGATCCGATTCCGCCAAACACCCGGCGCCCGGCGCGCCAGCCTCGAAAGCCCGGGGCCACCCCTCACGGCCCTGTCGGCACTCCAGTCCGCTCCACGGCTCCAGCCGGGGCTCCAGCCCGGGCACCCCCGAGGAGACGAGGCACCCGCGTCAGACAGAGCGTGCTGCTCGGGCAGACCCGCACCCGCCTGGGCTAGGGACTCTCTTCTGAATGCGACCATCAGTCTGATAGTCTGGTCGCTGCCGCCTCCCGACCCGACCCACGCACCGTGCACACTATAAACCATACTGTTAAAAATAAAATATCATTTAAATTTACAATTCTTACTTGGTTAATTTTCTATTACGAAACCGTCGTTTTTCACAAAATCACAAAACGTCGTTATATTACGAATTGCTTTGTGAAATTCTCTCGTAATTTTATGACAAAAAATTTCGCAAATTTGCAAATTTGTAACTAGTAGTCTTTTCCTTAAATCACGAAAACATTTTTCAGTGATACGCTTTCTGCACAAGCAGGCGTCTTTTGGTTATGCACAAAATTGTGCCTAGATCTATTGCTGTTTAAAATTCTGCATGAGTTTTGCACACCGAATAAAAATGCATATGAGGGTGACGTGCTGGTTTAACAAGATGCGTCCCTCCACCCGCCTGTTGTTGGACGTGTATCATTCAATCATCCCTCGTGCTGGTAAATCAACGCCCGTATTAAATGGGTTTAAGCCCCTTTTACCCGTCTGTTCGCAGCGTGCAGCGTCGAGCAGGGGGAAAGGAGGAGATCTGCTCGTCGAACTCGTCGTCAATAGCAGACGGGGACGGGCGACGGGGCGGAGCACAAGTTCCCCTGCGCACGGCGCGTCTACTCTTGGCATCAGGTCGTCCATTATTTGTAGCAATCCCACCTCCTGGTGTCCAACCAGAAGAGGGGCGGGGGTGGAGCGGGGGCGAGGGTCTCACCGTCCATAGCGTCAGCCAGCGAGCGTCAGGCACACGGCCGATACACTTCTCCCCCACCCACCCATCCTGCTCTCTACAGCACTGAATGAGACCAGCCCCGTCACGAAATACCCCCTCTCCCCGTCTCCTCTTTCTCCATCTCCGTCTCGAGCCCTTGGCCTAGGCTTCAACCGGCCACTATGGTCGCTATGGCTGACCCGCTATCGCTGCGAGCATAACTCAGGCCTGGACACCCCTTCCCCTCCCCCTAGCGCCCACCGCGCCCAACCTCTCTAGCTCACACAACAACAACACACAAACACACACACACACACGCGTGTGCATACATACATGAAGGGACACACACACACACACACACACAGACCAACACAAATATATGTGTACAACACGTCTCCCCTTTATAGTTTCACGCCCCACACATTTCTGATAAACGTCTCACTTTTTATTTACGTAAATTACTATTATATTTCTCGCTCCCGAGAAAGAAACGCCGCGTGCCCCCGCGCTGCTGCTGCCGCTGTGCTTCGTGTTTCGCCCATTATGACATAGTGAACACACACACGCACACACACACACACACACACACACACACACACACACACACACACACACACAGG